CATGTGATCGACTGGGTTTGTGGGCTCAGGGAAAACTGTCCTCATCCCAGCTGACTTCTTGCCCACTGCAGGCTTAGCTGACCCTGACTGCTGGGGTACCAGGGTATTGGTCCAGGAACTCTGAGGCTCTGAATCTTGGAGCTGAGCCAGACCTAGTAGGAGCCCCCTGCCTGGCAAGGAGACAGTTCTGTGACAGGCCTTTCCAACCCAGTCTAATGAATGTTGCTGCCTGCTCAGGGAATCTGGGAAGGCTTCATGGAAGAAGGGGCACTGATACTGGGTGTTGAAGGTTGGACAGGACAAGGGGAAGGTGACGTCTGGGCAGAGGGGATGGCGTGCACCTGGGGATCTGCCTGAGAGACTTGTGATCCCTGAGGAGGAGCCCAGTAGACAGGCCCCTACAGGGGGCCCCAGCTGGTGGCCCAGAGTGCCAAGTTCCAGTACTGGAGCTAAATCTTATGTGGCCTTGAGAGGACCGACCCCCTCAACCCCAGCCCCAGCCTGGGAGGTGCCTTCCCCTGAAGATCCTGTGTTTATAGCATTTCTTCAGTGTGTGCTTGCCATTTCTTTTAGAGGCAAGAATCCTTCCTTTTTCAGAAAAGGAAATGGATCCAAGGGGTTTGAGTGTGAGAGTGACACTAGAAGAAAGATGTGACCCAGGGCACATCACTTGCCCTCTCTGAGCAGGCCTTAGTTTCTCCCCTGTGTAGTGGGGGCGAGGTCAGCATCTGTCTCTTGGGCTTGTGGAGATTCTGCAAGGGGACATATGTCTTGGTTCATGTGGCACACAGCCCCAGGTAAGCCTGGCCGGGAATGCCAGCTCTGCCTGGAGAGGGAGTCAGGCCGGGAGAGCCCACAGTCCTGGTTTGAGACCTGGTTCTGTTGTAGATGTGCCACCCAGCTTCTCTGAGCCCAGTAAGTCACATGGCATCCCCGTTGAGGTTGTCATGAAAAGTGGCTTAGACCTGGGCTGTGTATGTGGAGTCCCCAGGTGAAGGCCTTTTGCCTTCCCATCGAGACCAAAGCTCTGGTTTCCATGGACTACAGGAGGTCAAAGGGGAGCCATCATGAGACTGATCTGGGGAGGGGAGGGATGCACTTAGGCCACCTTCTCTCCACCCCACCTTTGGGCAGCAGGAAGGGACCCTACCTGGGGCTGGGGGACAGCAGAGGCCTTGTGTACAAGGGCACCAGCCCCCAGGTCCCACCCCACACAGGCAGTTCTGGGCAGGGCTCACAGACTGACCTGGGTCCCCCTCCTGCAGGGGGCCTCAGGCAGACGAAGTAACTGCTCCTCCCTGAACCAATCTTACCTCTCTGTAAAATGGGTAGATGAATACTCCTGGCAGGTCTGTGTACAGCTGAAATAAAATAAGAGGCCGGATACAGTGGCTCTCATGTGGAATCCTAGCACTCTGGGAGACTGAGGTGGGAGGATAGCTTGAGGTTGGGAGTTTGAGACCAGCCTGAGCAAGAGCGGAACACTGTGTCTACTAAAAATAGGAAAGGTTAGCCAGGCGTGGTGGTGCATGCCTGTAGTCCCAGCAGCTTGGGAGGCTAAGGCAGGAGTATCCCTTGAGCCCAGGAGTTGGAGGTTGCAGTGAGCTACAGTGATGCTGCTGCACTGTAGTCTGGGCAACAGAGCAAGACTGTGTCTCAAAAAAAGAAAGAAAAAGAAAAAAGAGATGTGGAAGAGACCAGCTGGGTGCCCACCCTGTGCTGAGTGGTAGTGGGTACCTATGGGCCCCCTCTCCTGGGAGTGGAATGGGAGCAAGGCAGAAACCAGCCCCTGCTCACTATCTTTCACCTGGCTTCCCAGCTAGGGAGGCCATGCCCATTCACTGCCCTCCTGAGCCTGGCCAGTCTTTGGTGCCTGTCTCTCTCCCTGTCTCTGATGGACTTGCCCAGCCTGGCAAGGCAGAGGCTGGAGATGAGAAAGGAAGTGGCCCAACAGTGCCTGGCATGAGAGGAAGGCAGGATGGGGCAGAGGCTGCCTTGAGTAATGAAGGGGCAGGCAGTCCCCAGTGTGGAGTGGCTAAGGGGTGCTACGGGCATGGGACAAGGCTGGGTTCCTGGAGAGATGGTTCTTAGGCTGTGAGATGGTCTTGCTGGGCCTGGGCAGTGACCAAATGGCCATTTTCCTTTTCAGAGCCCTAGTCATCTTATCAGCCACCACCATGGGCACACCTTGGTGCAGGGTCACAGCAGACCAGCACCCCCTGGACCCAGATAGGATGAGGACCAAGGGTCCTGTGTCCTGGCCTGATGGGGGAGGGGGTAGCAGGTAGCCTCTAGGCTAAGCAGGAAGATAATGCACATATGATATGGGTCAGAGAGTCCAGGGCCACCACCCAAGAGCAGCTTGGGAGACCTTGCAGGTTGGTTCTCAGGCCTCCCCTTCCTCGCCCCCTCCCTGTTCCTCTTCCTCCTGATGAGTCTGTACTGCAGGACTGGATACAGCCTCTGTTCCATGTCCCCTGTCATGGAGACGCCCTCAGAGAGGTGGTGAAGGTCGAGGCTGCCCAGCTCAGCCAGGTGGGCCAGGCCATTCCAGGATATCTTAAGGACCCTGAACTTCCCCATGGCCCTCTATTCCACTAGGATCCTACCCAGGGTTGCTAAGGCCAGCTGGAGCATGCTTGTGGGAAAGGATATGGTGGGGAAGGAAGGGGAGGGTTCTGCAGCCACAGGCTCCAGGGGCTGGCCTGGGCCTGCTGAGCTCCTGGGACTGCAGAACCAGGGTCCCCTTGGGTTTCCGTGGGCAGACCGTGGGCAGACCGTGGGCATGCCCAGTCCACCGAGCCACACCTTCCTTTCCTCCCTCCAGCCAGCTCATTCAGGTGCCCCAGGCAGGAGGCGGCACCAGCTCCTCCCTTTGTACTTCCTGGGTCCCCACCCCACCCACCCTGGCTCCCGACATCCTTACCTGGCAGAGTTTGTCAGGCCAGACTGGAAAGCAGCCCCGTCCTGGCCTGTGGCCTGTGTTTTGGGTCTCAGACGTCAGGCCCAGGGGCCTATGGATCATAGCCCTTCCTAGATGGGGCGACTTCACCAGCACCTGGAGCAGGGCGTCTCTCCCACTGAGGTATGAACCCTGTCTCGGAGGGAGGCCTGAAGTCTGCCCTGGGAGGTGGGTGGCCCAGGTGGAAGAATCTCAACCAAGGGGAGGGCAGACACACCCAGGGCCTGGATCAGGGTGACGGGAGGAGGCTGGGCCATTTGAGCAGGGCCTTAGGCCTTCAAGGGAAGAAGCCTGTTCTTGTACCTACTAGCCTGGCATGGTAGCTAGGCCAAGGGGCACCCTTGTAAGCTGGGGTGTCTCAGGGAAAGCCCTGGAGGAGCGTAAGCACGCAAGCTGTGCGTGCCCGTGGGCTGAGGCCACGGCAGGAAGCTCCACATGGGAGTTCTGGGTAGTCTGGGAAGACTCTGACCTGACTTCAGCCTGTCCATGGCTTTCCTCTGGCTCTGCCATTCCCTCAAGCACTCAGAGGCCAGCTTCATGCTGTGTGTGGAGTGGCAATGGGAGACGGTCAGCTGGGGCTCCTGGGTTGGGCTGTCTGGGTGTCCAAAGGCTGGGGTCCCCCTTCCAGCTATGGGTTGCAGCATCTGGCATAAAACTCCAGGTCAGGGGAGGGCTCATACACACAGAGGGCTGTTGCCATGGAGATGTGGAGTTTGGGGTGGGAGGGTGGCCTCTGCCAATCTGTGAAGCCCTCTGGGCAGGGCCCTTCTAGCTCATCTCTGGATTCCTGAGTCCACATGGGCTGGGCCTCAGCCTCCCAGCCGGTCATGGGAATGGCTATACAAGGGGTGTGCCCTGTGGGGGTGTATCTGGTGACTTGTGCCAGGCTGTGAGTCCCTTGAGGTCAGGGCCCAGGCTTCAGCATGGCCCACGGTAGGGTCTTTGTTTGGTGAGGCAGGGAGAGAATGGTGGAAGCAGCCCTTGGACCAATGGAGGCCAGGATCCTGAAGGCAGAGGGGAAGGAGGCCCATGTGGGCTAAGCCAAGACCAGTTCCTCATGAGCCCCAGGAGTGTGGGCCGTGGACACAAACAGGGACAAAGCCTGTCCAACTTGCACACCAGAGGTGGTCTTAGCAGGCCCAGCTGGTCCTCAGGCTTTTCTCTGCCCCATGTGAGAGGGGCTCCAGTAGGGCACGGCTCTGTGCTCTTGGCTCTAGAGAGACATTCGCATCTCTGAAGTGGACCTACCAAACACTGGAGCAGGTGTGTCTGCAGTGCTTTCCACGTGATGTGCAGAGGAAACTGAGGCTCAAAGAGGGGAAGTGACTTGGCCAGGGTACAACAGCTGAACCGTGGGCCCAGGTCCAAGGCCAAGTCTGTGGGTGTCAGCCCATGTCCAGGCTCCATTTGGGTGCCAAGTGGCATCCACTACCTCTGCTCTTTGTGCCTGTGGATGTGGACCCTGCCTGAGTCTTGGCATCCTGGGTCCTGTACAGAGACTGCTGCATCCCCTCTGCTCTGAGCCTCGCCGTCCTCATCTGTGAGGCAGGAGCAGCAGGAGCCCTGTGGCCCTTCTGCCTCATGTAGGGCTGGTCCTGTGGGACAGTATGTGAGGAAGGGCTCTCAGCAGTGGCATTCTGGGGACAGGGTGACTGCTTCAGTCTTGGGCAGGGACCAAGGCAGAAGGGAGGGGAAGTGGGAGAGGCTCCAGAGCCCCAGACGGCTGCTTGGCTCAGTTGGTTTCCTGTGGGTCTCTGGGGCAGCTGAGGAACCAGACTTGAGTGGCCACCTGATCCTCCACTGCTTGTTGCCTCAGAGGCAGAGCCCCTTACCCCGACTCCTGCAGTGGGGACAAGGGAATGGTGAGTCTCTGTGACAATCCTACCCCAAGTCTGTCTTAAGCCAGAAAAGAGGGGGAGTGGAGAGGAGGAATGACTGCCTCCAGGGAGGGGAGCTGGGTGGCTGGGTGAGGTGTGGCAGCCAGCTTGTCCTGAGTGGTGGCAGGCCCAGCCTCACATGCCTACTGCCCACCCCCCAGGTCCCATCTGATGCCGAGGCTGAAGGAGTCTCGCTCCCACGAGTCCCTGCTCAGCCCCAGCAGTGCAGTGGAGGCGCTGGACCTCAGCATGGAGGAGGAGGTGGTCATCAAGCCCGTGCACAGCAGCATCCTAGGCCAGGACTACTGCTTTGAGGTGGGTCCCGCCATGGGGGAGGGGCTGGATCTGCTTGTGGCTTTTGGCTCCTAAGAGACCAGGTGGAGCTAGGAGTGGGGGGAGGTGTCATTCCTGTTCTCTGGGCTCTTTGGAACTGGGCCAGCACCTGTTCTCCAAGCTAACAAGGGAACTGCTAGGGATTCCTGTGTGTGAAAATGAGTTTTAAAAAAGCCTGTGTCGAATTGCTTAAGACCCAAATCACATGTCTTGGAGCCTGCTCACCCCCAAATGCAGTGTGGAATAGTGGAGAGTCCCCCCTTTTCTGGGCCTGTTTCCCCCGCTATACACTGAGAGCCCAAACCTTTCCTGGCCAAGTATTCCTTTGACCCAAGGCTTGAGAGCAGAGAGCCAATGACCGACCATACACAGGACTATCACATGGGGATTACCTGCCTGTATAGTCCTTCATAAGGGAATCTGAGGCCCAGCGAAGGCAAGAAGTGTCAGAGGTCACACGACAAGGCTGAGCCCAAACCAGGACCAGGGTTGCTGTTGGTGCAGGTGTTCCCGGGAGTTGCTAATTGCTTTTGCAGTTATTCATGCTGTCTTCCTGCTTCTGTTTCTGGGAAGATTTCCACCCCCAACAATTGTGCATAATTAGGGGAGCTCTCTGGTAGAAGAATGAGCCTGGTAATAGAAAGCAGCCATTTGGAAACTAGTGTGACAGCCTCCTGTTACCCCCAGAACAGAATGATGCCTGGCTTCTGTCCCCCTCCATGTGCCCACTGGGTGCTGTTTCCAGTTCAAGATTCCTGGCCTAAGCTGGGCACAGTGGCTCATTCTTGTAATCCTAGCACTCTGGGAGACTGAGGTTGGAGGATCACTTGAGGTCAGGAGTTCAAGACCAGCCTCAGCAAGAGGGAGGCCCTATCTCTACAAAATATAGAAAAATTAGCCAGGCCTGGTGACGAACACCTGTAATACCAGCTACTCAGGAGACTGAGGCAGGAGAATCATTTGAGCCCAGGAGTTAAGGTTGCAGTAAAGTAGGATGACACCACTAACTCTAGCTGAGTCAATAGAGCAAGACTCTGTCTCCAAAACAAAGAAAGATTCCTGGCCTAGCTGGGCTTGATCTGGCTCTCACTTCTTGCCTGGGACAGGCTGAAGATAGTGCCTGTCTGCTCATTCACAGCAAGGGGTGCTGCCGACTGTGCAGGCCCTTGAATGCTTGGTGAAAAGTCTGATCTCCCCTGGAGAGCCCTAGGCCAGATGCAGGGGCAGCCTGGGCCAGGCTCCCTTACCTGGAGGAGACATCTCAGCTGGGCCCTAGGATGGGCACAAGTCAGCCAGGGGAGTGAAGGCTCCAGGCAGGAGGACCCCAGGGCCTGGCACACCTAGACAACCCAATTCTCATTTCTCCACAAAAAATATTAGGCTTATATTACCATCATTGTTGTCACTGTTGCTTGGCACCTGTGGTTCTGCCTCTAGGGAAACTATGTTCCTTCCCTCTTCCCATATCAGGGAGAGAGAGGTTAGAGTCAGAAAGATGCTTTCCTATTGGACAGAAGGGTGCTGAGGCAGAAGTGAGGCTCCAGGACTAGGAGCCAGTTGGTGCGGGACTGGTCCACTCTTCCTGCTGCCAACTTGTTCTGGGACAGTGTGTCTCAGCGTACCACCTGCAAAATGTGACATACAGAAATCATATCCTGCCTCCTTCCTGAGGCTGTGCACACCTGGTGGCCACAGTCCCCTTAGCCTCAGAGATCTTCCATTGTTGTCCAGCCTTGCTGTGGTCCCTTCTGCTGTAAAAGTGTCTTGCCTGCCTCTCACAGGTGACAACATCATCAGGAAGCAAGTGCTTTTCCTGCCGGTCTGCGGCCGAGCGGGATAAGTGGATGGAGAACCTGCGGCGAGCGGTGCACCCCAACAAGGTAGGCCTGCACCCCCTCTTGTCAGAGTATTGGAGATGGTGGTTAGACTCAGGTGTGAGGAAGCAGGAGGGAAGGATCTCTGCCAAGTGGCTGGGATCGGGGCTCAACCTGCACGGAGACAGAGAAATATCATTGGCCTCTGAAAGAGGAGTTTGAGCTGGCCAGGCAGAGGCAGGGGTGTGTGCATCTGTTCTCGCAGCTGCACACTGAGGAGGCTGGGCTGGGGGAATGAGCTTTGGGACCTTGGGTTCCTGCCTGGAACCATTGTCCCTACTTTCTCCCAACTGATTCCTGCTCATCCATCCCATTGCAGCGCAGATGCCTACCCCTCCTCTAGGCAAGCCCCCCGGCCCAGGTCGGTGCCCTCTATGTTCCCACTGTCCCTGGGCCCTCCCATCAGGTCATGGGACCTGGACTGTAATCTGCTTTTGTGTCCATCTCCCCAGCTGACTTGAGGGCCTGGCCCGAGTCCTGGTCACTGAGGTCACCTCTTAAGTTACTTTGTAGACCAGCAAACAAAGAAGAGCTGATAACAGCTCCATAACCTGTGGTGTACCAAGCATCATATGACCTCTTTACCCAGTCTCTCACTCCATGAGTTGGGGTTTTTTAGTCCCATTTTATAGAAATGCAAGCTGAAGCTCAGATTAAGTCCATTGCCCAAGTTCAGTGAGCTGGTGCCTGTCAGACCCATCCCATCCTTTCTCAGGGCCTGGATGTCCCCTGCCACCACCACCTTCAGAACTCCTCTCAGATCTGAGGACTCTCCTGGGCTCTGGGCTGGCTGGGGGGGCGGGCGGCACCCTCAGCTGACCACCCTAGGCCCCCTTGTGCACATGCAGGATAACAGTCGGCGTGTGGAGCACATTCTTAAGCTGTGGGTAATCGAGGCCAAGGACCTGCCCGCCAAGAAGAAGTACCTGTGCGAGCTGTGTCTGGACGACGTGCTCTATGCCCGCACCACGGGCAAGCTCAAGACGGACAATGTCTTCTGGGGCGAGCACTTCGAGTTCCACAACCTGCCACCCCTGCGCACGGTCACCGTCCATCTGTACCGGGAGACCGACAAGAAGAAGAAGAAGGAGCGCAATAGCTACCTGGGCCTTGTCAGCCTGCCCGCTGCCTCGGTAGCTGGGCGGCAGTTCGTGGAGAAGTGGTACCCAGTGGTAACGCCTAACCCCAAGGGTGGCAAGGGCCCTGGGCCTATGATCCGCATCAAGGCACGCTACCAAACCATCACCATCCTGCCTATGGAGATGTACAAGGAGTTTGCCGAGCACATCACCAACCACTACCTGGGGCTGTGTGCAGCCCTCGAGCCCATCCTCAGTGCCAAGACCAAGGAGGAGATGGCGTCTGCCCTGGTGCACATCCTGCAGAGCACGGGCAAGGTGAAGGTGTGTGTGGGCCCCTCGGCCCCTGGGAGAGGCCTGGTGACAGGCACTGGGTTAACCTGCCCTTCCCCGCGTCCATGCGATGCATTGGAGGTCTAATGGAAGCTTTGGAGGCACCAGTCACAGCCAAGTGGGCTCCCTAAACCTGAGAGTTATGTTGTGGGATGGGGGCTTTGTGTGCCCCCTCTGTGCGGGGACTGATCCCTGAGCTCCCTGTGGAGCTGATGTACGGGGTCACAGGTGGCATTGAGGGAGCAGCAGGCTATGTAGCCAGGCTCTCCCAGCACACTGGGTCCTCCAACCCCCAGCCCCAGTGACGCAAACATGTGGGGTATAGAGTTTGGCAGACATCTCAGCAGGTGACAGACAGGTGAGCCACTGTCACAGCACCGCCTCACCCTACACTCACACCCAGACACACAGATTCACATACATACACACAGGTGGACATAGTCACAGTTGCATCATTCAGGGGTCAGCCAGCCCCCTACAGAGCCCCATAAGAATAGGGATGGTCTAAAAGCTGTCCAGGCAGGCAGTACAGCTCTCCACAAACCCTCACCCGTTTCATCTTCTACTCCCGAGAATGGGCCCAGGAGCCCACCAGGCATGCCACTTCTCGGCCCCACAGACCTGGTTTGGGGACAAGTGGGCCTCTGGACTAAGGCGCTTCTAGGAAGGCAAAAGAGCATGGTCCTGTTTGCCACTAAGGCAACTGTGGCACCCTCCTTCATGGGGTGGGCTGCCCAAAGGGCATGGGAAAGGAGGGCTGGACTTGGATAGACACGAGTGCCAGGCTCAGGAGTGGGGCCTCTACCCTCCGGACAGTGGTATGTTGGGGGTGGAGGAGCGCGCTATGTCACGGTCCTGGCCTGAGTCCGGTATTGGAAGCCAGGCCTCAGACATCCTGGGGCAGAACCCAGGGCACGTGACTCTGTGGAGTTCCCTTATCCTCCTAACCTTTCCTGCAGTCCGTGGAAGGGGAGGCTGTGGCTGGAAGTCTCTTGGCCTCATTCAGGCCCTCCTGCTGGCTGTTGGACTAGTGTAGCGAGTACAGGACCTGCAGGACTAGGGAGGGGAACTCCCTTGGTGGGCCGTGAGGGGGAGTGCTGTTCCCCCCTCCCCTTGTGGCTGGACCGCCTTCTCCCTCGCCCAAGCCTTCTAATTGGGCCAGCTCCTTAATTCATTGGTCAACACTGGGAGCACATGCTGGGAAACTGAGGACGCCCATAGCCCCCAGAGAGGGAGAGAGGAGGTGGCAGACGCACTAGCTTTTGATGTTGCTGTATCTGGTTGTTCAGGACCTGGTCCCGAGGGCTGCATTGGGTTGGCCTGGGAGGCAGATTCTGGTCTGAAGTGGCCTGAGACAAGAGGCGGGCCAGGGTGGTGCTGGTCCTGGCGGGAGGTGGAAGCCAGGGCTCCATCCCACCCTAGCGGGCACTCTGTGCTATAGGGGGAGCCATCGGTGGGCGGGTAGAGAGTAACTCATGCTGCTGGGTGCTGAGCATATGGCTCCCCTCCTTGGAACACTCTGGAACTAGCCTCATCCCCTCCCTCTCATAGCTGGAGGAGTAATGGGGCCTGGGAAACAAAAGACTTGGGCCAGGTCTGGCCCCAGCTAGTGCTGTGGCCTTGGACAAGTCATTTTCCTGTTCTGTGCCTTGGTTTCCCCTCATTTCAGCATGAGGCCTGGTGCCCACCGCAGGAGTTCAGGAGGGCTGTGAGCTTGAGCAGGAGCCATGGGTGCTCGGAGCAGAGGTGGTTCTTACTTTGCTTCAGAGGGTATAGATAATGGGCCCTAGAGCTTGTCTGTAGGTAGGAAGGCCCACAACAGCTTCCCCTTGGACTCCTGTGTCTCCATCAGCCAGCTCAGTATCCTGGTCTAGATCTCAGTTCTTTATTTATAAGTTGTGATTGTAGGTGTGAGGAATTTCCAGAGCATCAGAAACCCTGGCCCACACTGGGCGTCTTGCATGCTTTGTGCTGGGTGGCCCCTGCCCTTTCAGCCTCCAACGAGTCGCAGGTTGGCTATGAGCATGAGGAGATGGGGGCTCCGGCTGGGTGGGTGCTGCAGAGTTGGCGAAGGGGGCTCAGGCTCCTCTGCTGGGTCTTCCACAGCACTGTGTGTGGGACCAGTGGGATTGCCGGGTGGGCATTGTGCCTCAACCTCCCCCTGCCGGGTGCACATCAGTTTCTGCTCTCTCCCATCTGAGCGTGGTGGCTCACTGCCTTCCAGGGCAGCAGGCCTGCCTCTGTCCCTCTCATCCTTCAGTACGGGGCCGAGCAGAGTGAGGCTGTGTCTGGTGTGGGAGCCATGTGGGTGCATGCTGGTGGCTGATTATACCAAGAGAGAGGGTAGCCATACCTGTCCTCTTGGCACTGATTGCAGGGGTGGGGGGTAGTAAGTTCTGTTGTGGTCACCCAGCCAGGCCTGGTTAGGGTGGAATAGGGATTTGAGTCCAGCCAGCCTGTGGTGGTGGGAGGCTCATGGCTCCAGGTGGCATGTTTATGACTCCAGATGGCATGCTCTCAGCGAGGCCTACCTCCCTCATCCTTAGGTCTGGCTCTGATATGACCACCTCTAGGCTCCTCCCTGTCCTGCCCACACTCCCCAGCAGCCCCCAGGGCTTATCACTCTGTTCCTTCCAGGATGGTGGGACAGCCTTGAGAAGCTGGGGCTTCTCTTCTGGCCAGCTCCGGAATCCCAGGGTGCTACCTACCTGGCTAGCTCAGGTCCTGATCTCACCTCCCACCTCCCCAGGACTTCCTGACAGACCTGATGATGTCAGAGGTAGACCGCTGTGGAGACAATGAGCACCTCATCTTTCGGGAGAACACGCTGGCCACCAAGGCCATCGAGGAGTACCTCAAGCTGGTGGGCCAGAAGTACCTGCAGGATGCTCTAGGTAGGGAGGCACAGACTGGTGGGTGGGCAGAGGGCAGGGCAGTGGCCACCAGCTCCTCATGCTCCCTCCCTGCGTGCCCGGCCACAGGTGAGTTCATCAAAGCACTGTACGAGTCAGACGAAAACTGCGAGGTGGACCCCAGCAAGTGCTCGGCCGCTGACCTCCCCGAGCACCAGGGCAACCTCAAGATGTGCTGTGAGCTGGCCTTCTGCAAGATCATCAACTCCTACTGGTCAGTGCCAGCCCCCACAACTCCCAGCAGGCCCTGCACTCCCTTCGGGCTCAGCTGCCCAGGACCCCTCACCCCATCCTCTCACCCATCCCTCCATGTAGCTGCCCACAGCATGCCCAGCACTAGCACGTCACATGCCTGGCCCCACTGAGGCCTACTGAACAGGACCTAGTCCCTGTTGGACTCTGGGATATAGGGGAGTGCTCAGAGTGTCCACAGAACATGGATTTTATGGTGTTGTAGTAGAAAGAACCTGGACAGGGCAGTCTGCGCAAGTTGATGCGCAAGCGCCCTGTGGGTGCAGGGTGCTGTTGTAGGTGCTGTAGCCTGAGTGAGACTGACAAGGCCCTGCTCGGGCACCCAGTTGGGGCAGGTGGATGGCTTAACCCGAGAGTCCTCACCTGTCCCTGTGGTGCCTGAACACTGGGCAGGGCTCCGGCTGAGACTAGAGAACAAACAGAAGACAGTAGCGGACTTCAAGGAAAGCAGGATCTACGGCTGTGGCTAGCCTAGAGCAGGGTAGGGTATGCAAGAGTCGCTGCTCACTTGGGACTTTAGTCAGGGCTGGAATTGGTTTTTTCGCAACCAGATGCTTGCTCCTGGGGTGCACGTGTGCTGGCTGGCCTGGCAGATCCTCAGTCTGTGGTGGCACATGGGACTGTCTGGGAGGGCCTTGCTGTCAGCCCAAGCAGTGTGTGTATTTTCACACAGGAGGAACTGCCCAGATTTTAGCCTGTGTCACCCTCCAGCTCAGGGCTTATGTCCCCTGTCCACCTGAGCTTCTGTTTGTAGCCCCTCTTGTTATCATACCCCATACTCCTGTTATTCCTGATCCCCTAAGCCATGCCTTGCTCCTTTGCTAAGTTTGGTCTGTCACTCACCCACACCTTGACCTGTACACGCTCCTGCCCTTGCTGCTCTGAGCGTTAGACCTGCATCCCTCTGCAGCCCTCCTTCAGGTCACCAGACAGGGTCGGCTCACCCATCCTGGCTATCCTCTGGTGAAGCCCTAATCCCTTCTGGATGGGTTGTGTCTGTGTCCGAATCTGTGTCCTGCGCACGCTGGGGATACCTGGGGGCAGGCAGATCCGCCAGCTCAGGGCTGGGCACACAAAAAGGCCAGGGAAGTGTTTGCTGTTCCCAGAAGACAGGCAAAGGCAGGCCTGCTAGGTGGGCAGCAGTCCTGGGAGGGGGCAGAGGGAATGACCCAAGGCCAGGATGGGGGCACCCACTGCCTCTGTCCCTCAGCCCTGGGCTATATGTGGTGCTTGCCTGGGGCTAGTGGGGTCCCTGGAGCTGGGCCACAAATATGTAACTTTCCACACCTCTGGGCCTAGGAGTAGAGGGCAGCCTGGGGGCCCTGACCCCTGTGGGAACACACTTCCCACCCCCAGCTGGGCTGTGCTTTCACCCTCCAGCTCCCTGTTTAGGGTGGGGGTGCTGGGTGTGGGACACAGGGAAAACAAGCTGTGGACAACGATTTTCCATTTCCTCTTTCTGGCATTTGTCAGAGGCACCTCTGTATTCTGGACAAGGCCATGGATAGATGTCACCACTCAGCGCCTGTACCCTGCCCAGTCCTGTGCCAGGCGCTATGGGGCCAGGGCTAAAGGTTGCCCACCCTCACTTCCCTTCTAGGCGTGCCCTTGTTAGTTCAGCCAGCATTCATTGCCGAGAGCTTCTGAGCTGCCTGCTGGCCTTGGGGAAAACATTTCAAGTTGGTCAAGCCCTCTTATGGCCTTGGGGTCTCAGCCTTAAAATGGTTCCTCATCTCAGGAGGGCAGGCCTTGCTCTGGGTTTGAGGGAGAGGAAACTGAAGCCCAGGAGGGCCAGGGTCTTGGTCAGATCACCCTGGGCTGAGCTGGTGACAGAGCCAGGCATAGACTGGGTTCAGGGAGCACTAGGGCTGGGCCTGCCCCAGGATGAAGAGATGGGAGAGCCATGCAAAGGCCGGTCAGGTGGGGCCTCACTGTGGCAGGCTAGGGTGCCCAGTGGAGCCAGGACCCCTGTATTTTAGGGCCAGCTCTGCCTACTCTGTCACTATGGGGAAGTCGACACCTCCCTTCCCTTCCCCATCTAGAGATTGAGAGCTGTATTCTCCCCCGTGGTCAGGGTTGCTCCTATCTTCTTGGTCATTTTGAGCTATACAGGAAACCTTGGATTCCTTTGACATTATTCAAGCAGAGAGAGTTTCAAAAGCCAGCAGTAGGAACCTGTGGAACAGTAGTCTGTTCCCATTGTGTTTTCCTCACCCCTGTCAACCCAAATGCTTGCTGTTTGGGGCTTGGCATGAATCTAGCACTGGGGGGGGTGCGGAGATGGTTTGGCGCTGGCTGTTGCCGTGGCTTCTGGGTAACACAGCCCACCGCCCCAGGTGGAGTTGGATCTCCTGCTCCTCTGCCCGAGCACCCTGGCCAGTCCTGTGCTAAGTGCTCTCCTTGGAGGGCCAAGTCACAGAGAACTCAGGCAGCCGACTGACCCCACACCATTATTGGGGCAGAGCTGGGGTTGGGACACGGGGTTCCATCTGACCCAGAGTCAGGTCCCTGCTGTGTGCCCTACTGTCCTGAACCCCTGCCTCATGACCAAGCCCACCTCGTCTGCCCTACACAGTGTCTTTCCAAGAGAGCTGAAAGAGGTGTTCGCCTCATGGCGGCAGGAGTGCAGTAGCCGTGGCCGGCCGGACATCAGCGAGCGGCTCATCAGCGCCTCCCTCTTCCTGCGCTTCCTCTGCCCCGCCATCATGTCGCCTTCGCTCTTCAACCTGCTGCAGGAGTATCCCGACGACCGCACTGCCCGCACCCTCACCCTCATCGCCAAGGTTACCCAGAACTTGGCCAACTTTGCCAAGTGAGTACCTCCTCCCACTGTGGGCGGAGTCAGAAGTGACTGGAGTCCCTGGGGAGGCCCCTGGGTGTTTCTGCCCCAGAGCTGGGTGGGAGGGCCTGGGTTTGTCCTTGTGATCCTCAGTCCTTCCCCTACCCCCTTTTTCAAAATAAAATGTCCACACCCTGTCCTCCTGCTAAAAGTATGTGTCATTTTGGTATGTTTCCTAATTTTTAAAGGTATAAAGACAAGATACTTTCTCCTTCTGCTCTTTTGAATTAATATATTCATAAGGATTCTCCCATATCCTCGAACATTCTTAAGCCCTTTGAAATGAACAACTAATATTCCTCCAAGGGAAAGTGGCCTATATTCCTTATCCCAGGCCCTGTGGTTGGGCACTCGGGTTGTCTCATACTGTCTTAGTTTAATTCTGTCAGGATGTTCTTGCTCATAAAGCATTCTGGTGTTTTCGGCTCCATCCTTAGAGTGAGCAGGTGGAGGTGGAAGGGCCGGGTCATTTCATCCCTGTCCTTTCTCAGAGCATGTGTAGAGCCCCATCCTGGGGCTCTGTGGTGGGTTCTGACGGCACAGCGGTGAATCAGCCCTGGTCCCAGCCCTCGTGGAGCTCAGCACTGAGCTGGAGAGACACGCTGAGTGAGCAGCAGAGCAGTGACAGACGCACAGCAGTCTCTTAGGAGGGCCCGGAGCTTGTTGGGAGAGGAGACAGGGAGGCCGCCAAGGTGACGCAGGCCCCCAGCCACATGTCAGGATGAGGGGTTCGTCGTCTCAAGGAAGGCAGCGGGAACAGAGGCTGGGCATGCCAGGGAGGCCTGGGCTTTGCCATTCTTGGGTCATCGGGTGCCAGGCAGGAGAAGCGGGCGAGGAGACCTAAGAGGACAGCAGGGACCTGAAGGCCAGACAGGGCAATGGGAGCCCCTGGAGAGTTTTAATGAAGGGGAGAGGACAACCCTCTGTTCTTGGTCCTGGAAAGATCGCTCCAACAACAGTGGGCAGGTGGGTTGGAGGGAGCAGGACAGAAGCCGAGAGACCTGGGAGGAGAGCACAGATGTGGTTCTGACAAAAATGGCAGAAAATTGTGGAAGAGGCGGTACGGGGATCAGTGGCTGCAAGGGACAAGGTCAAGGTGATCACAAGATAAAGTCAGTGGGCCTTGGTAATGAGGAAGAGGGGGCAATTGACGACCACCAGGCTCTGGCTTGGGTATCTGGGTGGATGGTGGATAGGGAGCTTGGGAGGAAGGCATGGGTGACTGATGACTTCAGACTTGGCCAGGCTGAGTAGGAAGGGACTCCCAGGGGAAGCACGTCTGAAAGCTCAGCAGAGACCTGAGCTGAGTGTGGATTTGAGAGTCATCTGTGTACCAGGGCACTGCAACTTGGAGGAAAAGTGGAGGGACACTGTAATGGGCAGTGTATGCAGAACACAGAACATTGCAGGTCCTGAGATGAAAGGTTCAGAAAGGGGTGTTTGGACTTGGTCATGAGGAACGAGAGCCCTGGTGACCTGGGTCAGAGCAGGTTCAGCGTACTTGGGGAGTATGAGTGGGTGGGAGCTGGCCACAGTGGGTGCGGCGGGCGGGGGCTGAGGATGGGGCATCTGAGCAGAGGGGTGCTCACCCCATCTGCCCTCATTTCAGGTTTGGCAGCAAGGAGGAGTACATGTCCTTCATGAACCAGTTCTTGGAGCACGAGTGGACCAACATGCAGCGCTTCCTGCTGGAGATCTCTAACCCCGAGACCATCTCCAACACAGCAGGCTTCGAGGGCTACATCGACCTGGGCCGCGAGCTCTCCAGCCTGCACTCTCTGCTCTGGGAGGCCATCAGCCAGCTGGAGCAGGTGCCTGTCACAGGGGGGCAGAGGGTGTGGCCAGAGGCCACCATAGAGATCTTAGTGTTCCTCCTTCCAGAGTAACTGCAGGCAGACGGTTCACCTGTGTGACCTCATGAGGAGCCTGCCCAGACTGGTAGCCCAGGCCCTGTCAGGACACACTAGGCATCCACGGGCTCCATTTCATTTGTGGGCAAATGCCGCGTCCACTCACCAGCAACTGCCGGGCAGCCCCACTCTGGGGACCGTGCGTGGGCTGTGCTTCCTGCAGTCAGCCTTTGGTGGATGAGTTGCGCGTGTGCAGGCAGGCTCCCTACTGAGTGCACGTGAGAAACGGGATCGGAGTTTGAAGCCACACATGAAATAGATGACTCAAGACCCTGGACCTCCACTTGTCAGACAGGAAATTGGAAACCTTTCTAGAATTGCCCTTGACAACCAGATGACAAGGTTATTCCCTAAAGCCCTCTGACATTGCTGTAGTCACCTGAAGTGAGCCTCCCCACCCTGATATTTCACTAATCCGCCAGTGGCCTCAGCCCACTCAGTGAGCGGTTTTTTGGAATTAAGGGCAAGGCTCACTGGGAACCACTTCCCGGATATCTGTTGCTTTCTAGGGCTCTACGGGACCACCTTACAAAATTAATTAATGCTGAAACCAGCCTGGAATACCCTTTGTGCCACCTAGTCCCCTTACCTAGAGGTGACAACTCAGAGCACTGGTGTGTAGCCTTCTAGACACATTCTGTGCGTGTATAAGTGCACACACGTAGACACAAACAAGAGGCCCCTGCTCTCCCCTTTTTTTAAGAGACAGGGTGCTGCTCTGTCACCCAGACTGGAGTACAGTGCACAGTCATAGCTCACTGCCTCCTTCAATTCCTGGACTCAAGTAATTCTCCTGCCTCAGCCTCCTGAGTAGCTGGGACTATAGGTATGAGCCACCATGACCAGCTTTACCTTTTTAAGTTTGCTTTAAAGTGTGAACTGTCCTGCTGCGTGTCTTCCTCACCCACTCTTGTGGGCATCTTGGCACGTCACTGCGTACTAATGGCCGCAGATTATGCCATCATATGCGTGTAGTTCATCTCACCAGTCCCGTTGATGGGTACTTAGGTTAGTCCTGACCTTTCACTAGAAACAGTCGCTGTTGTAGTCAGAGGCCATCATCTTTGCTCATTTGTGTCCACTTGCCTTTGACTGTGAGAGGCAGAAGGGGGACTGGAAATGAGGGCAGAGCTTCTCCCTTCCCCCAGGCTTCACGCAGCCAGCACCAGTCACTCTCTCTGCCACCACTTACCACACCCCTATGCTGGTCGCTGTCCATGAATACATGGCCAGGCAGGAAGTACAGAAGGTCATCACCGTTGTCATAGGGGATAGGGTACAGCAGGGATTGGAAATGAGGCTGTTTGCCTCTCAGGTCTGTGCTCTTTTGACTGCACACGTTTTCACACTTAGTTTTTGCACAGAGTCCTCTGTGGAAGCTTGTGCATAAACAAGCCAAGGGAGTGTCCCCCTCCTGCAGCTCAGCCCCATGGCCCGGAACCCTCAGCACTGTGTCTAAACCATGACAGCGAGGTTCAGATGGGCCTAGGCACTGCTGTCTGTCTGGCCAGCACCTGGTCAGACCAGCACCTGGTTGTGGCCTGCTGTGTGCCTGGACCGTCTCCACTGGGGCTCTGGTGCCAAAGTGGATCAGGCCTCAGCCATCCTATGGAGTAGGTGATGTGGGAGGGGCTGTCACAGAAGCCTCTTGGATGGAGAGGTGTAGGTGTGGAAATTCTGGGATTCCACATGTGCTTTCTTCTCTGTGGAAGCATTGGGGCAGGGTGAACTAGGAGGAGAGGCTTGGGCTGGGCCAGCATCTCTCCCTGTGGGCCTCCTACTCCTGCCCTAGAAATATCTGGGGAGCTGGTAATAAATGTAGATTCACAGATGGCTGGTCTCACCCCACGCCCGGACCTGATGGATCTGATTGGTGGTGGGGCAGGGACCTGCATCTCTGATAGGCTCCTTAGTGGTTTTGAACCACAGTGGCTACTACAGCATACTTAGCTTCCTCAAGTGGCTGCAGGAGGTCGCATCTGCCTCTTGTTGTGTCTTTGCAGAGCATTGTGTCCAAACTAGGACCCCTGCCTCGGATCCTGAGGGACGTTCACACAGCCCTGAGCACCCCAGGCAGTGGGCAGCTCACGGGAACCAACGACTTGGCCTCCACGCCAGGCTCCGGCAGCAGCAGCATCTCAGCCGGGCTGCAGAAGATGGTGATTGAGAATGATCTCTCTGGGTAAGAGCTGCCAGGCATGTTGGGTGTGGCAGGTGCATGTGCAGACTAGGCACAGCCCATACGTGGTCTCAGATGGGGAAGGGGATGCCTACACAAGGTTATAAAACAAGCCTGGGAAGACTTGAAATGTCTTGTGCAGGCCTTAAGCGGCGAACCTCCATTTCAGACAAATCAGGAAAGGCTTCCTGGAGGAGGTGGTGCTGTATGTTTGAATGTTTTAGGTAAAGTGGCATTTCCACTGGTCAAAAAGGCATTCTTGGTAAAGGGGCAAGCATAGGCAGAGGCCCAGAGAAAGCATGATGTATTGAAGAACAATTACTGGTCCCAGATACCTCCAGCATTTTTAGATCACCTGATATTTGTTAAAAATACCCATGTTCCTGGTATTTCCTGGACCAGAGTCGGAATCTCCAGAAGTAGTGCTTAGGGGTGTGTGTTTTTAACAGGAATGCGGGTGACTGCCAGGCTTTGAGGCTGGGAGCCCCAGAGAGCAGAGAGAGATGCTGAAACCCTGCCCTGGGGCACTGTCTGCTCAGTGTAAATAAGACACAGTGGAGTGGGAGGCACAGTGTTCTTGAATGTTGAAGTCAAAATGGGGACATTCCTTTAAGAAACATGGAGTTTATAATGAAACATTTATGTTCCCCTCCTTCCCTCCCCTCTCCCGCCAGGCACCCTTTTTAGCAGAGCTGGGAGTGTGGTCTGGTTCTGAGTGCCGCGGCAGGCAGCTGGCTTTTAAGCCCGGGAGGGTGTGGTGCCCAGGAGGAGGCTGGAGATGCAGAGGACGTGCTGCCGGCTCCTGGTCCCTCTGAGCCTTGGGCTGAGGGTCTGTTCCGACCTGCCGAGTGAGGCAGAGCAGAGTCTTGAGGCAAGAGTTCAGTCGGGGACACACCTTAGAGGCTGAGAGGCGGCCAGGCACGTGGTTCTGGGGAGACCAGGCCTGAGTGTGTGGCATGGGAAGCCACGTGCCCCCGGCTGGCCTTGGTTCCTCCCCACTCTGTCTGCCGCCTCGTCCAGCTCCTTCCAGCTCAGGAGCCCCGGGGCCCTGAAGGGCACAAGCAAAGGCTTCCTGTCCATCTGAGGCTAAGCCAGCTTGTTCCCCATGCCAAGCCCTCCAAGTCCTTGCCTCCAGTTCCCCCCCAATCTTCTCTCCAAAACCCCCTGGTCCCCACCACAGTTGTGCTTTCTTCCAAAGAGCAGGCTTCCGCGGGATGGGGGCTGAGGCTGAAGACAAGCGTAGAGTGAGGAGGCGGCCAGGGCATGGGGCGGGCTGGGGGGCGGGCGCAGCCTGCTCCTGCAGGTTCAGACCCTCCCCTGAGTCATGCCCTTCTCAGATCCTTCTTGGATTCCTTGTTTTTGCCAGGAACTCCAGCCCCCGCCTGCCAGTCAAACAAGGGAGTGGCAGCAGGAGGCTGGGCAAGAGGAGGTTTCACCAGTCTGATTAGAAGCGAGAGGAAGCCCAAGTGCCTGTGAAGGTGGAGCTCTCTGCGCAGGACCATGGATAGCAGAGAGCCACTGAGTCGTGGGTTTGCGTTTAGCTGAGGGCAGTTGTCCAGAGCTCGCCAGGCCCCAACACCTGTTGGGGCACGGATGCAGTGGGGCAAGGAAAGGGGCTGCTAGGCAGCCTGGCCTGGAACTAGCTGCGCTGGCTCTAGAGCAGAGAGGCCATCTCTGTGCAGGGGCAGCCATCGCGGCCACTGGCCCTGGACCCTCCCCCCAGCCCTGGCTCAGGTTGCTAGGCCCCGGCAGGTTGGCAGGTGCTGTCGGTTTGGACCCGCCGTAACTGCATTCACAGTTCTTCTTTTCCCCTTCTTTCCCTGTGTGTGCTTGTCTCCCTGCAGTCTGATAGATTTCACCCGGTTACCGTCTCCAACCCCCGAAAACAAGGACTTGTTTTTTGTCACAAGGTCCTCCGGGGTCCAGCCCTCACCTGCCCGCAGCTCGAGTTATTCGGAAGCCAACGAGCCTGATCTTCAGATGGCCAACGGTGGCAAGAGCCTGTCCATGGTGGACCTCCAAGACACCCGCACGCTGGATGGGGAGGCAGGCTCCCCTGCAGGACCCGACATCCTCCCCACTGACGGGCAGGCACCTGCAACTCAACTGGTGGCTGGGTGGCCGGCCCGGGCAGCCCCAGTGAGCCTGGCAGGGCTGGCCACAGTGCGGCGGGCAGGCCAGACGCCAACCACGCCGGGTACCTCCGAGGGCACTCCAGGCCGGCCCCAGCTGTTGGCGCCACTTTCCTTCCAGAATCCTGTGTACCAGATGGCCGCCGGCCTGCCACTGTCACCCCGTGGCCTTGGCGACTCAGGCTCTGAGGGCCACAGCTCCCTGAGCTCCCACAGCAACAGTGAGGAGTTGGCGGCTGCTGCCAAGCTGGGAAGTTTCAGCGCTGCCGCCGAGGAGCTGGGACGGCGGCCTGGAGAGCTGGCACGGCGGCAGATGTCACTGACTGAGAAGGGCGGGCAGCCCACGATGCCACGGCAGAACAGCGCTGGCCCCCAGCGGAGGATCGACCAGCCCCCACCCCCGCCCCCACCACCACCTCCTGCCCCCCGTGGCCGGACGCCCCCCACCCTCCTGAGCACGCTGCAGTACCCACGACCCTCAAGCGGAACCCTGGCATCAGCCTCGCCGGATTGGGCAGGCCCTGGCGCCCGGTTGCGGCAGCAGTCCTCCTCCTCCAAGGGGGACAGCCCGGAGCTGAAGCCACGGGCGGTGCATAAGCAGGTCAGTGCTGCTGGTCGGAGGGCAGGGCTGGGCTCTCGGGTGCAGTCAGACCGCCACCCACGTCATGCTCCTCCCCTCTGTCATCCCACCTGCACCCGCACCCGGCTGCCATCCCATGCGAGTGATTCCGTGTCCAACCCCATCCCACCAGCCTGCCACATTTGCCACCACCCCTGCCCACTTGGGTGGGTCCCACTGTCCTTGCCTGAATCCTCTAAATCAGGACACTGGTTCTAGGGAACTCCAGGTTCCTCTGCCAGTTCCCCCAGAGACAGGCTGGGGTCAGAGAAGGAGGGAGGGGGCCATCCATCTCCAGTTACCCCTGAGCCTGTTAAGCCCCACCCAAAGTAGGAGTCGACCTGGCTGCATGGCTTCTCAGGCTGGGCTGGCCTCTAGGCACAGCTGCCGGGAGGATGGGCGTCCCCCGTCACCCAAGGGCTGCAGGCAGTGCAGAAGTGGATGTGCTTAGAGCTGACTGCCCAGCCTGGCGCCCCCAACAGCAGGCTCACTCCTTGTCACCTCAGCAGGAGAGTGTGGGGGAGACAGTTCACTGGGTGGGGGCTGCAGTGATAAGCTCCGTCAGCTGGGGATCCTACCCTTCTCTCCACGCTCCTGAGCCACTCGTCCCTGCAGCTCACCTGGTGCCAGTCACCCCTTCTGCCCTCCCTTTCCTCCCGGCAGTGCCTCACAGCTGTGTTTCGTTGTAGGGCCCTTCACCCGTGAGCCCCAATGCCCTGGACCGCACGGCCGCGTGGCTCTTGACCATGAACGCGCAGTTGTTAGAAGACGAGGGCCTGGGCCCAGATCCCCCCCCCAGGGATAGGCTAAGGAGTAAGGAGGAGCTCAGCCAAGCAGAAAAGGTAAAGCTGGACCCTGGCAGCCGGGCAGAGCCCTCGATGAGGGGGCCCTGCTGTCGTGCATGGCCACCGCCTTGGAGCCCCCTGACAGCAGTGAGCGGGGTCTGGAAGTAAAGCAGCAGGAGGGACTTAGCTTAGACCCGAGGATTCCTCTGCACAGCAGTCATCTGGGACTTGTCTTGGACCTAGACACCTGGGACCCTGTGGTAGGGCCTGCGGGAGGGCTCCTTCCCCCAGCGACTGGAGGGCTGGGGCTGCCAAAGAGGTGTCTGGAGACCCTCTGGGGGAGCCTCCTGCATAGGTAGGCAGCGGCAGGGGTCCCCAGGACACTAGGAGAGCCCCCAGCCAGGCCCCAGGGTTTGGCCTGCCTAGAGCCTGGGAAAGAAGCAGTAGGGTACCAGGGCGAGGGCTAGGTCAGAGCACCACAGGGTGTTTTCTTCACACCCCACCCCACCCCACACGCCTGGTGTTTGCTGGGGCAGTGGTGCTTTGTCTGCTAACATCTTGCTGCCCTGGATTTGGGTGTAGTCCTCATCTCCCCGCTGGGGGCCAAAGTCCAGGTTGATGGAAGACCCAGTGCAAGGCCCCTGGAATAGCAGGCACTTCTCCACTTACCTCCGGTGCTCTCGCCCCTCTGAGCCCAGGAATGCCTGTATTAGTGTCTCGAGCAAGGGCACCGGGCCAGGGTGGCAGAGCGCGCTCTTCCTGGCCTTGGCGAGCTCCATCTCCATGCTGCATCCTGCCACCCGCCACCATCCCCCTGGGCCACTGCATCCACCTGCTTTTACCATAATTATGTGAAGAGGACAAGGGGACAGGGTACACAGTACTCCAGGAGCCAGACTTTGGCTGGGAGTGAGGAAGCCCAGCCTCACCCAGGCCCCTGCCTCGCTCAGCCCCTGTGTTCTCATGGCATCTGGCTCCTCTGGGCCCACTCAGCATCCTGGCCTCTTCCACACCCCTTCTCCACCCTGAAGGCAGAGGTCCGTGCTGAGCTGAGTCAGGTCCAGAGAGCCCGAACCGCCTTGCCTTTCGCCCCTCTCTCCCCGTGCCACCGCCAGCCCAAACAGGCTGGACAGCTAGCATCTCATCCTGCTGCTCAGTCACTTTCCATGTGATATGGTCACCTTGCCTGAGCCTCAGTTTCCCCTCCTGCAGAGCCCTCACCTCTCCACATGTCCTTCATATATCCAGGGGTTCTTTAACTTTTGTTTGTTATGAAAGGTTCAAGGCCCTAGTTACATGCTTACTCCTGAGGTTAAGGTTTAGGTTTGAGTCTTCATAGCAATGCAGACCAGGCTGGGAGCTTGCATTGGATGAGCCCCTGGGTGGGGACAGGCTGTGTCTGGCCGGAGCCCCCTCTGCCTGGCTCCCTGGGTGTCGTCTTGTGTGAAGTGGGTGGGGTCACAGCCACCCTGTCCCCCTGCTCGGGCTGACGAGGCTGTGCTCTGTCTATCCTGGGTGCTGTGCCCATGGCACGCTGCCCTCCCGGCAGGACCTGGCGGTGCTGCAGGACAAGCTGCGAATCTCCACCAAGAAGCTAGAGGAGTATGAGACCCTTTTCAAGTGCCAGGAGGAGACGACGCAGAAGCTGGTGCTGGAGTACCAGGCGCGGCTGGAGGAGGGCGAGGAGCGGCTGCGGCGGCAACAGGAGGACAAGGACATCCAGATGAAGGGCATCATCAGCAGGTGTGTCTGCTGCCTCGTGAGGTCGCCCACTGGCCACAGGATGAGCCGAGTGTGTGGTGGGGGAGAGTACCCTGGGCAGCAGGGCAGGGAGCACAGGCCCCGAGGCAGGAGGCAGCCTGGAGTGTGGGCAGCCCCGCACAGCATTGTGGGTTGACGGTGGGGTACAAAGTTGTGGGTGGCAGAAGTGAGGCCGGACCAGCCAACGCCAGTTCCCGGAGGGTCTGCCCCCCTACCCCTGAGGAGTCATGGCACCTTGGTAAGCGCTCTCAGAGTTTAGGAGGTGGATTCAGGTGCTGGGAAAGACAATGAGGACCCTGTTCAGGGCAGGAAAAGTGAGAATGAGTGTCAGTGGGCAGAGGTGAGAGGAAGGACAGAATAACCCTGAGACTTCTACCAAGATCATCTGGGTGTGGGTATGTCAGGGTGCCAGCTGCTGAGGTGGGGAACTGAAGGGACAGTTTGAGTGGGGAGGGCACAAGATGGGGATGCCAGTATGGATATGTTGACTTAGGAGGTGCCTGGGTTATCCGGGGACAGCTAGTTTCAATGCTGACTCTCATCTTTATAAGGCTTGTGTCGGGTGCTGTGTTGCCTCCCCCATCTCTCTCTCCCCGCTTGTGTGGGGGCACCCCTTCCTTGGTGTCTGGAGGCAGGGAGTGCAGTCAACCCTCAGGGTCCCAGCCCTGGAGTTGACTTCCTTATGACAGTAACAACAGGCATTAGAAGAGAGACAGTGTGCATTTATGTCTTGTTTATGTGCATGGTCTAAGACCCTGGCATCTGGACAGACTGAGCAGGTGTGCGGGAGCCAGGAAGTCCCCCTGGCTCTGTGGCATAAACCCTTCCCAAATTCCTCCTGTCTAGCGTGCCTGCTTCTCTGCTCCTGGCTGTTTGCTTCATTTACTTGTGGTTTTGTTCATTATGGAATGGTTAACAGGAGAGCTGGGGTGACTGGAAACCTACTGTTCACTTGACCCTCTGTCTCTGCTCTTGGCTCACCTCATGTGTATGGTTCCAAGGACAGAAATGCTTTTCAGCCTACCCACCTTGTGCTCCTTCTACTTATTGTGTTTATTCTCTGAGAGGTACATGCTATCCTGAATTCAGAGGCTTGCTTAAAACATGTATTTCTACTAACCGATTCTGGTGTGTTTCCTCCCTAACATAAATGTCAATTAGGTAGGTAGTGTTGTTCAAGTCTTCGGTATCATTACTGTTTTTTCTATGTACTTGTTTACTCTCGTTCCATCAATTACTGAAACAGGATATTGAAATGTTTAATCGTAATTGTGGATTTGTCTGTTTCTCCTTTCATTTTGCTTTATGTACACTGAAACTCTGTTCTTAGAGTGCATACACATTTAGGCTTGTTATGTACTATTGGCAAATGAATCTCCTGTCTTTATCCCTCACAATATTTCTTGCTCTGAAATCTGCCTTGTCTGATAATATTTATATAGCCACTCCAGCTTCCTTTTGATTAGTGTGTGATATACCTTTTTACATCCTTATGCTTTTAATCCATTGTCTTAGTCCATTCAGGCTGCTATAACAAAATACCTTAGACTAGGTAATTTATAATATTGCTCATAGTTCTAGAGGCAGGGAAGTCCAAGATCAAGGTGCCAGCAGATTCTGTGTCTGCTGAGGGCTCTCTGCTTCATATATAGTGGCTTGTTGCTATGTCCTTGCATGGCAGGAAGGTGTGGATAAGTTCCCTCAGGCCTCTTTTATAAGGGCACTAATCCCATTCATGAGGACAGAGCCCTTATGACCTCATTGCCTCTCAAAGGCCCCACCTGTTAATATGATCACCTTGGGGATTAGGTGTCCACATGTGAATTTGTGGGGGCAAGAAACATTCAGACCATAGTCATCATCTGTATATATCAAGTGAGTTTCTTTTACAGGTACCTTATTATTGGGTCTTGCTTTTATCTAACAGGTTCTACCTTTTAAGTGGAGTGTTTAGACCATTTATATTTAATGTAATTATTGATATAATTATGTTTAAATCTATTATCTTGCTGTTTGTTTCCTATTTGTACCATCTGTTCTTCCTTTTATTTCCTGCCTTCTTTTGGACTGGGTATTTTTTATGATTCCATTTTGTGCCTTTTATCGGCTTATTAGCTATATCTCTTTGCTGCTATAAGGCAGGGGTTGGCAAACTTCTAAAAAGGAACAGATAATATTAGAATTTCCAGGCCATGTGGTCTCTGCTGCAGCTATTCAACTCTGCTGCTATAGCGGAACTATTTGCAGGAGGTGGCTATTTACAAACACAGGCAGAGGCCAGATTTGGCCCTTACCCTCAGGCCATAATGACAGGGACTCTGTCATTATCATCGTTCCTCTGTACTTAATGTATCTTTTTTCTGTGGCTGTTTGTAAGATACTTTTCTTCACCACTGGTTGTCAGTAATTTGGTTGTGATATGCACTGGGGTGATTTTTTTTTGAGTCTTGGGGCTTGGCTTTTTTTGAGTCTTGGGTCTTGGCCCCATTTCTTCCTCTGGTACCCCTGTCACAGTACATTATGCTGTTTGATATTTTCCCATGTCTAACCAATGCTTTGTTGTTGTCTTTTTTCTCTTTGTTTTTCCTGTGTTTTATCTTAGATAATTTCTATTGCTGTGTCTTCAAGTTTGCTAATCATTTCTTCTTCAGTGTCTGATGTGCTATTAATCTTATCCAGGATTTTTTCACTCATAATATTTTTCACTTCTGGAACCTCATTTTGGTTTAAATTCCATCCATTTTTCTGCTCATCATGCTCATACTTCTATTTTCTTGAACATGTAGAATGTATTTATAATAGTTGTTTTAATGTCCTTGTCTGCTCAGTCTGTCATCTGGGTGACATTTGAATCTGGTTTTACTGATTAACTTTGCTTGTGGTTGTGAGTTTTGTTTTCCTACTTCTCTGCATACTTGGTGAGTTTTGGTTGGATGCCAGGCATTGTGAATTTTACAGTCAGGTGCTAGATGTTTTTGTGTTTGTTTAAATACTTTTGGGCTTTGTTCTGGGCTACGATGAGGTAACTTGGAGTCAGTTTAATCCTTTTGAGATTTACTTTTAAGCTTTGTTAGGGTGGGTCCTGCAGAGTCTTCAGGCCTTGTTTGGCCACACTGTTGAGGCCGCTTCCTTCTGGGGACTCCGTGTTAGGACATCTGGCTGTTGGGAACGTGCTGTTCCTGGGTGTGTTCTGTGTGCTCCTTTCCAGTGGTTCTTTCCTAGGCTGGTGATTTCCTCACCTCCATACAGATCATTATTCAGTCAAAGACACAAGGGGACCTCCCCTCGGGAGACACGTGGCTTTCTTTATGCATCTTCTTCCTTCTGACGCTGTGCCCTAAAATCCTGCACCTCCACCTTCCTGAACTCCCTGCCTCCTCAGCTCAATGAGGCAGCCTGCTACCCCCTCCGCCTGCTTCCCGGCCATGAGCTGGGCTCAGCTTGTGGATTTTTCTTCTTTTAGGAATCATTGCCTGTTCAGTGTCTGAAAACCTTTGTTTCAGATGCTGTGTCTGGTTTCTAGTTTGTTTGTTTTTAAGACAAGAAAGGTAAATGCAATCTCCTTCCAATGTCATTTCCCGTGACACTGTCTAATCCATCCCACTCCTGGCACACGGACTTCCTCAGTCTTCCTGTCCCAGGGAACCCACCTCGCAGGCCCCACCCCTCCTGCTCCCTGCCCCCCAATTCTGCACCGGTTCCCCATAGCAGCCCTGAGCGTCGCCCGCCCCAGCTGCAGGGAGGCTGCACTGGGCCGGAGGAGTTGAGAGGGCAGGGACAGAAAGAAGCCTCCAGAATCGGTGGGCTCATCTGAGAAGAGTAGAGCGAGGAGAACAGAGGCTGAGGCCAGAGCCCTGTGGAACTGTCATGTTGTAGGGCCGATGGGACAAGATGGGAGACAGGCAGCCAGAGAATACGGGGGTCCCAAAGCCAAAGGCGAGTGGGAAGGTAGGAGTGCCCAGCAGTGATCGGGCCTCAGGGATGAGTCAGGAGGGTGCCTGACCTTCAGGCGTCCAATACCAATGTGTGAGCCCCCCAACCCTGTCCAGGAGAGGCAGCTGCCTCCTGCTCTTTGCTCCATGGACCCGAGCGTCCTGTTAGCACAGCTGCAGCCATGTGGTGGGGGAGCTACCTGTCTGTGTGTCTGTGTCCCTGCTGCCTCGTGAACTCCTTGAGGGAAAGGACTAGAGTAAACTAATCTCAGTACCTCAGGTGCCCAGCACAGAGCCCACACAGCCTTAGTGAATATGGTGGGGCAGGGGGTAGAGAAACTTCCAGAGTCTTTCCGGACCTTCATCTTCCTACCCATACCACAGGTGCTACAACACAGCACCACCTGCCTCACTCTGGAGCTCGTGAGGCTCTGACACCTAGCACCACCCATGTTGGCTCCTAGAAGGACATCAGGAAAGGGCAGCCCAGGGGCTTCTGGGAATTTGGGAACAGGGTCACGGGGGGCTGTGGAGCATGGAGGTGAGGAGGGAGCAGGCACAGCCCAGGTCAGGTGCTGGGCGCAGCTGGAGGGCCTAAGGCCCACATTAGGAGAGCCCCTCTGTGCAGACGTGATGGGCGTGTTCCCATGACACCCCCCAGTCTGCTCCCTCCAGTGCCAACCTGACCATCCCTTTCTCTGGTCGCAGGTTGATGTCAGTGGAGGAGGAACTGAAGAAGGACCACGCGGAGATGCAGGCAGCTGTAGACTCCAAACAGAAGATCATCGATGCTCAGGTGGGGGCTTGGGCCCTTTGCTCACCCACAGGTGTTAGAGCACCTGGGATTAGGAGGGGGTGACTTTGTCTTCTCCACATCCTCAGTCATACTTCACTGCAGAAGCTGAGGGGGCAGTAAGAGACCAGGATCTCTGCCCCGAGAAGTCAGACCTGTGGTCTCAGTGGGCCACAAGCTTACTAGGACAAGCTGTAAAAGGGAAGGGGCAGCCTCTCCTCTGATGGGGCACTTGGTGGGTATAGTCTTTCACCAGGGGTGCTGACAGAAGAATGGAAGCTACTTGCAGGGGAGTGGGGGAAGGGCTGGGGGCATGGCTCCACTCAGGGTTACCTCACTTGCCTGGGAATAGGCCAGGCCTTGCTCAGACTTCCCAAGAGCTATCACCTCTGTACATGTCACATGCGTACGTGTGAGCCAGGGTGCCTGCCATAGGGGCCTTGGGCAGCCGATAGCACCGCTGGAGCTGCCCTGTTTGGGACAAGAGGCAGGCGACAAGGTCTTGGTCTGTGGTGGCACAAAGGCCTGCTCAAGCCTCTCGAGCTGCTTCACAGCCTGGTGCCCTTCCCGCCCTGCACGTGCTGCACCCTGGTCCTCTGTGTCTCCTCCAGGCCATCCCCTCCTGGCCCTCCCAGTGCTTCTAGTAGGTACACACTGCCTCAGGGAGACCCCCATCCTGTCATGGTCCTCCCTTGGGCCTGGGAGCTGGCAGCCCCCGCTAATCCCCTCCATGTTCACAGGAGAAGCGCATTGCCTCCCTGGACGCCGCCAACGCCCGCCTCATGAGCGCCCTGACGCAGCTGAAAGAGAGGTACAGCATGCAAGCGCGTAACGGCGTCTCCCCCACCAACCCCACCAAATTGCAGATTACCGAGAACGGCGAGTTCCGAAACAGCAGCAATTGTTAACCTGCCTGAGGAGAGGGGGACTGGTGGCCAAGGGCAGGGTCTTGGCCTGGGGAGGCGCCCCCACAGTCACAGCCCGAGCGCGGGTGGCAGGAGACCGAGTCTCCGCTCCCTGCCGCCGCTGTCCAGGAGGCGGCCACAGAGGGAGCCTCGAGAGACTGAAGCAGCGTGAGGCGGGTCACCAGCCGCTCCCCCTCCGCTTCCGGCCCGAGGAGCGTGTTGGGTGCAGGCAGAAGAGACTGCACGCTGGGGTGGGGACAGCCTGTTGGGAGCAGGGACCTGCCAAACACATGTCTGTTGATTACCGAATGTGGCGTGTCACCTTGTCCTCCTTGACCTGGCCGAGTGCATGTTCCCAGACCCTTGCCAGGGAGGGAGCTGCCCGGAGGGGTGATGAAGCGGCTAGGGGCCTGCTCCTGTGGCTTCCCCTTGCCTCCTTGGGGCCCAGGACTCCCTGGCAGCCAGGCCCTGCCCTGTGGGACCTGGAACCGGGTGGGTTGGTTGGCAGGCAGGGAACGGGGATGGGAAGACAGGTCGGTGTCCCTGCCTGTCTCCACCCTGTGCACCTGCCACTGCATGCAGCCTGTCAGGACCCTTCCTGGCTCTGAGGACCCAAGGGTGCACACCCCGCCTGTCCCCAGACTCCCACCTCCTTCCCTCCTGTGGTTGTGTTGCCACATAGACCGGTGAGGATCCTGGCTTTTTCTTCTGGGCTCTCGCACCTGTGGGGAGGATCCACAGCGTCCCACACCTTCCACGCGGGCCCGGGCTGCTGCTCTGGAGCGCCCCAAAGCCAAAGATCTGGGCTGAGCTGGCCAGATGGCACCGAGCATTGTATCTGCCTTCTCCTGGGGCCCAGTGCATCCAGGGCACAGTGGCCCTGTAGGGAGTGGCCACCTGGTAGTCACCCTGAGAGAAAAGGTGATCTCTACTCTGATTGGTGGTCTTAAAAAACGTCTAATGCCCGCAGGCCCTGAGAAAGTGGATAACTGTGATTTTTTTTCCTTTCACAGTATGCATTAGAAACAAAAGCCCGCTTGCTCGCTTGCTGGAACACAGGGGCCTTTTAAATTGAGCGTGCGCACTGCATGGGAAATAGCGGCCCTGGAGGATGTTAGACTTGCTCCCTCTCCAAGACAGCAGCAGCCTGCACCAGGCCCCGTGCGTGCGGCCGGCGGCCTCCTCACCCTCCCTGGTCCCCCAGCCAAGGACCCAGGCGCTGCAGACAGGGGAGGGGCTCACTCCCAGCTGGGGCCGGTTTTCCTCAGCTCTAGGCTGTTCTGTAGCTTATCTGTGCCCCCCCCCATGCCCCTTGCAGGACGTAGATGGGCAAGAGCGTGGGTCTCTCGTGGCCCCTCTGTCCCCCAGCCCTGCAGATTCCAAGCCTGGGGTGGGAGCTGGGACCTTTGCCCGGGCAGCAAAGTCAGGGCTGGGCAAGCTGCAGGAGCCACCACCTCTGCCCCTGCAGCCGAATGTGCCAGGTCCCCACTGAAGGTGGAAGTGTGGAGGGGCAGCCCAGGGCCACACTGCACCCTATCCTGGCTTGTGGACAGGGATGGCAGCTGCTCTGGGAAGGGGCTTCTAGATGTAACTGCAATTCAGTTAGGCTAGAGACAGACGCTGGGCCACCAGGGGTCCTAGACCTCCTGAAGAGAGGAGGTGGGGGCTGAAGCCCTGCCACCACCCCTCTTGCCCCACCCCTCTGTCCTGCCCCTACTGCATCTGCGTGTCACTGACCAGGGTGGCCACACAGGCAGGGCCTGGCTCCAGTCTCGTCCCCTGCTGCCCAGTGAGCCCTGCCTTCCCTGCCCCAAACCCCTCCCACCGATGCCTCGTAGAGTGACCTCTGACTGAGCACCCTTAGCAATACGGGGACGGGGTTCCCAGGGCCCGGACAGGAGGGCACAGAGGCCAGCGCTGTGCCCGGTGCTGGCGGCCCTTGGCGTGGGTTGTGAGCTCTCAGGCTGAGAGCCTTACTTACCTAGTGCAAAAACTGTAAAAGTGTACAGACTCTCCACAGATTTTTATCTTAATTGCAAGTCTGACAATTTTTGTAAATGTTCTTGGTGTTTGACTGTAATGTAACTATTCACCTAATGGTTGTACATAGTCCTTTGGTCCTGGTGCTGCCGAGGGCTGGCCGGGACTGCTGCTCTCCCGATGGTTTTTATTTTATTTCTTAATCTAGAGAACAGTATTGGGCAGGAGGAGGAGGTTTGGGATCTGGTGTGTGTTTGTTCCCTGCCTGTGGCATTTCTCTGCTGGCTTTGCAGCGCACTGTCTGGGTGGAGGCTGCTGGGGCGTGCACCCCGACTGGGCCGGCAGAGGGGGCTCCTGTCTGAGGCCACAGAGGTCCTGCAGGGAAGGGGGATGGAGGGAAGAACAGTCTTTGCTCGGGGAAGACCAGGGTCCCAGGGTGCCCAGGTCACCAAGACTCAGACTCTGCTGGAGGACGCTGTCCCCCTCCCCTGCCAACACTAAAGCCTGACTTGTGCTTAATTAACTTCTACATTCAGGGTGAAGGAAACTGCCAAACCTCCCCTAGGTGAAGACTTTCTGACTGCCCAAGAAGGGGGTGGGAGACCAAGGGCAGAGCTCCACACACACCCCTGCCCCAGAGCATCTGTCCCGGGGTGCACCTCTCCTCCCCCGTCCGTCTGCGGGAGCTGGTCTGTCTGGGAAACAGCCCCGCTCTTTTCTACACTCTCAGCCACAAAGGCCCCCAGCCCCGCTCCCCCTTTTGTAAGTATGTGAAAAGGAAAAAATGCAAACGTTGGAGTTTGGCTGGAGCTCCTCCCTCCAGCTGTGACTTTTAACTATGTAATAATGTACAGAGAAAGTTGTTGGTGTTCTGAGATTCCGTGTGGCTGTGCAATTTCTGTACATTTGCAATTAGAAATATTAAAGATTTATTTAGCTATTTTAAGCCTGGCTCGCCTCTCCATTCAGCTGTGTCTTGGGTGATTTTACAGAGGTGACTGAGTCCTGGGCTGGCACTGTACTTTACCAAAGGGACCCCAGCACTTGGTCCACCCTGGAGGCAGCTGTGGCAGGGAAGACCCCTAAAGCCCGTGTCAGTGGTCTCCCCTGGGTTGGCGGTGGTGGTCTCCTGGCCAGCTTGGTGCGCTGGGTGATCCCGGATTGTCCCTCCTCCTCCGGGTTGGCATCCTGCATTAAATACTTCCCTATTCACTGGAATCGGGTGCAGGAGTGAAGAGACCAGGGAAGAGAAGATGTTGGCCCAAGGTCACCAGCAAGTAGTGGCCGAGCTGGACTAAATGTTTCCAAGCCTCCAGTACCTGGAAAGCCCGGCCCAAGCTCTCCCATCCTCCCAGACCCACCTTCAAGGCGGAACCCAGGGCCCTAGTTGGGAACAAACCAGCCCCCAAGTGCCTTCAGTTGTGCCTATTGCACAGGAGGCCTTGCAGCTCTGGGTCCTGCTCAGGGTCCCATCTTTCAGTGTCCAGTAACCCCTAGGGGGAACACGTGGGGAGCCTGGCTCTTGAGGATACAAGTTCCTGCCCTGGCCCGAGCTCAAACCCCTCAGAAACTGGATACCAGTCAGGCAAGAGCCAGGGGAAGGGACACATCTGGTCAAATTGCTAGATGGAGCCCCAGGTCTGTCACCTGCACAGGTGCCTCAGGCTCCAGCCAGGGTTTGGGCCCTGCATGTCCAGCCCGGCCTTCCCTGAGAAAAGCCAATGGGAAGTGGGGTGCAGCAGGACTGTCGTAGTGCACCCCACCTCCCATCATCCAGCACTCTAGCCTCTCAGGCACTCCACCTCTGCTCTCCCAAGAGGACCCCATCCCCCACAGCCAGCCACCCCTGGGGTCCACCTTGGGCTGCTGTCGCCTCCGACCCTGGAAAAGCATCATCCACACTGCTCTCTGCTCATAGCCGCTTCCCTCCCTCTGTCACACCCTCAGCTACCTTCCCCACCTAGACCCTGTCGGCTCCCTCCTCAGCCCCTCTCTACACGACGCTCCTTGACCGCATCAGTCCCAGGCCCACCCAACAGCCCGTGCTCTCCAGAGGGCTAAGCACTGCAGGAGAAAAACGAAATGACACCCCAGTTCAGACCGTGACCTTGTGGGTTGCTTCCCGTCTTCATTCTCAGCTAGGCCTTCCTCCCTCGTGCTCCACCCAGGTTAATCCAAACCTGTCCCTTTCTTCACTCTCCCAACCAGCCCTGCTTCTCTGAGCCCTGCCCCTTCCCGGGCCCACTGCGGCCTAGCTACCCAGCCCGCAGCACCCACAGGAGGGGAGGCAACCCCTTCCTTGCCACGGCAGCCCCTGGCCAGTCCCCACAGGCCTGCCTCGAGCTGCTTTAATCGCTCTCAGACCTCCAGCCTCCCCGCGGCTCTTTCCCACAGCATTTTAAACCGCGGGGTCTCCACCTGCTCCAGGCTGTCTTCTTTTCTCCCCTTTAGCCAAGCTTCTAAAAAGCATACCGCCTGCAGGGACCTGCCATCTCCACATCCTTCCCACTTTCTCCCCCGCCCCGCAACGCCTGCAAGCCTTGCCCATCAAAACCCGGCTTCGCCACTCTCACCTCCACCGCCTAACTGCCTCTGCACTGCCGTCCCGTCCCCGGGCTCAGGGGCCGCTGTCCCTGTGCTGGGGTAGTGCTTGTAAGTGGCACAGAGCTCAAGGAGAGAGCAACACATAGGACAAAGAGAAACCATCCCTCTTGATAGGTGTCTATAATGAAGGTACAAAAGGCAGAAACCTCTATTGGAGGACAAAATAGCATCAGATAGGAAGCAAAAATGCAAAAAAAATCGACAGGAACAATTGCATTTGAGATTGACATACCACCAGTATTGGTTACAGAACAAGGAGGCAAAACATAAGAACCTAGAGAATTTTAATAATTAATAAGGTTTAATAAGCTGAGATACATCAAACTGTTACCCTAGAGAGAGCACACCTTTTTATCAATTGTTGATATAATTTGGAACATTATCCAAAGTGAACTATGTACTGAGCTATGAAGAAAAAACATCACAAAGTTGCCCAAAGAACCAGTGTAGGCCACATTGTGTGCCTTGAAGCAATAAAAGTAGAGATTAGTAATCAGTGTTTAATTTTTTAAAAATTACCATCAGGAACTTTAAAAAGTAAATATTGAATCAATAGAATTAGATTTTTAAAAGAAGATAGTCTAATTGAACAAGATATATTGACCACATTCATTTATCTTTTTTCCTCCCCAAACATGACTATGTGACAGGAAAGGAATGAAAGGGTTATCACCTCTTAGGACAAAATGAATGTGGGAGGAGATAAGAGAATTTGGGCAACTGTGGCAGGTGGGAGCTAGAGGGGGGCAGGTTACACGTGCTGCTTGGCCCTGGCGAACCCCCGGGGGCTCAGGGTGGGGGTCCTGGCATGTTTCCAGGGGGGCACCAGCCTCCCCCTGTGCTAGGCAGCCAGGAAACCACTCTCCCCCGTCCTCCCCCTGCAAGGGACTGGACATTTACTCTCAGGGGAAACTGAACCGGGAATGCTCTGGCTTTGGGGACACGAGGCACAGCAGAGGGCTCTGAGGCAGAGAGCCGAAAGCAGGTGGAAGGCAGGTAGAGTGAGCTCTGCTCTCTGCTCTCCGCCACAGCCCTTTCACTGCTCCCGGAGTGCCTGGAGCCAGGCGTCTATTCCCCAGGTAGCTGACTGGAACATTCTTTGGAAAAACTAGCTTCCAGAGACTTCCCCATGAAGAGACTGAGTCACGGTCCGAGCATCCCATAGTGGCGTCCACCAATCAACCTGCCACACACAGCACAGATAGCCAAGGACCCCTCAGATATTGAGGAGAGCTTGCAATGTGAACAGGAGAGGCCAGATCAACCAAACTAAAAAGAAACAATGCAGGGAACAGATGAGCATTAAAAAAATCAAAATAATAATAATAAAACCCAAACTGTAACACTCTCAGAGAGATAAAACAAGAACAGGATGCTCTGAGAGAGAAACCAAGATCAAGAAACAGCTCTTATTAAAAAATTGCAAAGATAAAATATCCACTAGGAGTGATGGAATGCAAAGTTGAAGTATCTATCCTTCCAGAAAGCAGATCAGAACACACAAAGAGAAAATTGGAAAGAGAGAGGGAAAAAATCTAGAGTCTCAATCCAGGCTGTCCAGCATCCCAACTATCAGGAACTGCTGAAGGAGGGAAAGAGTAACAGGAAGGGAGAAGATTATCAAAGGAATAATAAGTCACATGTTGTAGAGCTGAAGGAAAGTCCCAGGTTGAAAGGAACCAGCACAACAGGTGGGGAAAGACCTGCTCCGGGCTGTCCCGAACGTGGCCAGAGCTGTGCGGATCCGCGCTGGCTGCCTCTAGCCAAGAGCCCAGAGGAAGGAAGGGGAGGCTGGGTACCTGGGCCCGAGCGGGGGGCGTTACGGAACAGTGGCCCCTATTCCCGAGAACTCCTAGTGAGGAGACTCCCCGAGAGAGGCTGGTAGATCAGAGTCACAGTGGGACTGGTCAGCAGGATGCTGTGCTTTTCTCTGGCTATGGCCAAAACTAGCTAATGCCCCCCGAGGCGATAAAGCCATCACTAGTGAGGCGCACATCTTTACCTGACAAAATCTACAGGCTGGCGTGCAACTACATAGAATCTGTGGTTTAATCTATAGTAAATGACAGATTGCATTCCCCTATGACAGACTCATCCTGGGCAGTCCTCTTAAACAACACTGCAGAAGGATGCTGGAATGACAGGCTGCTGCCTTTTTTTTTTACTGTAGTTCCAAGTTTCTAATTTCTTTTCTTAATACCCCCCAACAATGTGCCACAGTCACAGAGCCCAAAGCCTCCGTGACCCAGCAGGAAATGCGTGACTGAGACAGACCCTGTATTGAGAGACGACAGGGCGGGGTGGGGACTGGGTGAATCGCAGAGCATGTGCCCTTTCTAAAGGCAGCAGGGGACCATTGCCATGGAGTCACATGCCACACACTCACTGCCAATGCCTAAATTTTTATACCCAGCCCCACAGCACCCCAAGCTCCACGTTCATAGGGCCAAGTGCCTGCTTGACGTTGCCACTCAGATATTTCACCAGCATCAAGTTTGTTATGTCTGAAATGGAGCTCCGGACCTTTTGGACCTCTAAACCGGTTCCTCCTCTCGTCTTCCAATCCCAACACACTGCTCCGCCATCCTTCCAGTGGCTCAAGCCAGAAGCCAACTGTGACTTCTTGATTCTTGTATGTTAAAAAGGATGTATAGGTTTGGAATAATGTTCGTGATACAATGTGGGTGAAAAGCAAGCAGTAGATCAATATACCTTCATCCCTTTAAAGAAAAATTTTTAAATTACATTGCATATAATAAATTACATAGAAGAACTACGTGGCAGCAAGCACATCACACTGTTAGTGGCAATTTCCTCTGGGTGGTGGGACTTAGCAGGGTGGGGAAGGACGACTTGCACTTTCTACTTTATATCCTTATGTATTGTTTAAATATTTCACAACCAGATTTTATTCCTTGCTTTGATATGGAGCCCTTTAAAAATAAATAAAACATATCCACATAATGAAACACTCTGCAGCCATTAAATTTGTAGAAGAATAATAAATGGCATTGAAAGATGTTAATAATATATTAAGTATATAAACTGATAACAGAATTGTATGTCCGGGAAGATTTTAGTTTAATTTTTAAACTATATTTGCAAAATCAGGTCTGGATTAAGAGTGTAAGTAAGAGTATGAGTTTGAGCTTGAGGAAGACGAGGGTTGGAGTCTTAATGGCTGTTGATTGGCTGTACGGCCTTAGGTGAGTTGGGAACCCCTCTCAGGTTCAGTTTCCTCTATTGTAAAATGGGGTAACAGCACCCTCCATAGAAAGGTCTTCTGTAAGGATTTGCTGAAATAATGTGTCATCCCTCTACGCAGCACAGTCCCTGACACAT